TAACTTCTTCCCTGGGTCCTAAGTTTAACTTTTCCCCCTGGGTCCTAGGTTTAACTTCTTCCCTGAGTCCTAGGGTTAGGGTAAGGAGTATTGCAATTACGACACCGCCACCAAAATCTGTCACAAAAGTGGAACTGCGACACTATTGATTAAAGAGTTATAGATGAAACTTACGTGGACGAGACGTTACCACGGCGGCACTAGTCGCGTGTTGTTTATTGAATATTTAGCACAGTTTCCTGGCGGCACAGACACAAACATTGAGGCCCTGTTAGGGTATTTGTTTAGCCTCGATAATATGGGACCATTATTCGGAGTTCAGCCCAATAGTTATATAATATACACATATGTATTAAAACCTTGTTAACATAAACTTGCTAAGAAGAACACCCAGTTTATAGGAGTTAATAGGTACAAAATATTGATACCAGCAGCCATATATTTATATCAGTCCGTGGCTGGACAGGTGTCAAGACTATTCCCATATAGTGCCACATACATTCTTGTCACTTACACATAAAGGAAGAAGAACTTGAGGTTGAACATGCAAGTGATGGATAGATGAAATAGCGGAGAACATAAATAGCAGCATCTACAAAGTATACAACAAAGCTTTCATTCGATGCCTCTTCAAAACTGGAAGCTGAAAGGCAATAAAGGATTAGAGGAGGAGGAGGAGGAGAAAAAGAAGAGGAAGTCCCAGGTTAACACAAATATTTTTTAACAAGAACTCTTGAATTTTCTATCCCTTGGAATTCATGTTAACAAGATTTTACACTATTAAATATATATATCTTATAACACATCTTATAACATGTTGTGTTTTTTATAAAGTGTTATTTAAACAAATGTGACGTTTTTACCCCCCAAAAAATACAACTGATTATAAATTATATTATACACAATTAAGTAATATAAGTTAGTATACAAGTAACTGACAGTAATCAATAATAATCATACTAAAAAAGTGTTGTAAGCACACATAAAAGTTGCCCCAAAAAAAGTTAATTTGATATATTCTCAAAGCAAAATGTGATCAATCACTTAATATAAAGGAAGATATGACGTCTGTTACATAAAACATACATCATGCTGGTAGATACGACAAGAGGCATCAAGATATCTTGCTCAACAAGAAGTAAAACAGTTTCCAATATGTAATCATTTTCAAAACATAAGCGCATAAGGGATGTTAGGATTCTGGCATGTGTAGAGCAAGGGTGTTCTCTCTTTAAGATTTTTATAAGAAATTCTTCTTCTTCTTCAGTGATCACCTCTTGCTATGCTTCTCTTGCAATATGAGTCATCAACCATGTGGTATGCATCAGGTTTCAACAGTGCCCTATAAGTTGTCTTGTAGGATCACTCCTGTGTGCAAGATTTCTTCTGACTGGCACAATCCTGATAATCCTTAACTCTTTGAGTCCCAGGGGGTTTAGCATCAGAGACCCAAGGGGTAGTCAAGAGATGTGTAAAATCGGTGCATCTCGCGTTCATTGGGCCTCTAAGTAGGAAATTATGAACGTATGATGCGTTCCTTGGGACTCAAGAGAGTTAAGGGATTGACACTCATAAAAGGACACAGGAATTCATTTATCAGATTTTGTGTTTGAGAGAGTGTGCGTGCATGTGTGTGTGTGGGGGTGGGGGGGGGGGACAAGCATCGATTCAGCTCCCAGGTAGTTAATGTCCTTTGGATTTTTTTTCAACTGCATTCAAAATGTTGGTCAAGGTCCTGTGAGCATGAGTGAACAGTCCGGAAGCACAAATAAATTATTATGATCTGAAGAGAACTGACCAGGGGTAGTGATGAAGGGGTTTGGACAACATTCAATATTCAGAGGAAAAGACAGTGAACCACACAATGAGATCACTGCTGGTATTTTTTGAGGCACTGGTTGCTAAAGATGGAGCACTTATAGGAACATCCTGAGTGCAGTGCTTTCCTTTATTAACTACACATCTGCTGTTCTAAAACATACCACTGTTATATTATTCTTTGCACTGTAGTTTAGGCAGACATCTTATACAGTTTGGAGCTCTTGTGGAAATAAACTATGGTTATGGTAAGACCTCTTTTTTTTAACTATCAATTTCCAACTGCACATCCTTGCTGAATCCACATAATTTTTTCACTAATCGTCCTAACTGCTCATGAATCACATTCATATATGAAGTTGATTAGGGCTGCGTTAGCCCAGTTGATAGGAGACTCACTATCAAGTCCAGCTGCGACTCGCTGCAGCAACACGGCCGGTGTTCGAAATGGGCGGTTCCCAGGGTTCACCCAGCCTCAAGGTAATGGGTACCAGAGTTAATACTCTGGGGTAAATTAAGGAACGTCGCTGTGACTATGGAGTTGCGTGCGGATGGCGACACAGGAGGACAGTTTCTTATCAGCTGTCCGTACTGGTGGCAGAGCACTTACGGTTTATAACCGTGAGCAATGACGCTGGTTCACATCTTTCGACTTTATCTTTATATAAAGATAGGATTTATATAGCTCTTTAAAATTCTTTTTCTCACCTGAAATGACAAAGAAAGACGAGCACTCATTGAAGTGACACAAAGTTGATTAAAAGTAAGAAATAATATATGGACTACACTCCCAAGGTATGCTATCCTTTGTATATCCATATATTGATCACAATAGTTATGATACTGACAGAAAAGGACAAACAACAGATGAGGTACAATTCCCCCTGTGTTTACGGGGCCTCATATTTAGGGAGACAAAAAATATTTCCAATAGCCCTTAACTAGCATGCTTTGCTGAAATTTAATGTATTCGGCCAAAAGGTACAGATATCACAGTCTTGTTGCAAACCACAACAAAATATGCCAACCACCCTATTAATAGTGACTGCAAAAGAGGTCCGCCCCAAAAAAAAAAAGTAGAAGACTAAGGGCTATGAGAATGACTTGGAAGAAAATAAAACAGACAACAAAGTTACAATTAAGTTTGCCAAGCAAAATTCAATTATTTCCTGGAAACCAATAAACAAGGTGGAAACCAAAAAGAATAAGAAACAGAACATAGAGAAGGTTGGTTAGGAGGGACGATGAAACTAGGACTATTAAGAAGAAATATGGAGAAAGTATAGGAGAAGAAAAATAAAAAGAAAGAATCAATGTGAACAGAATCAAAGAAGATAAGAGCCAGAAAAGGAAGACTTTATTTATGGCATGCATTTATTTAGTTATATTAATTAAAAAATTTAAAGTAACAGTGCTACTGCACATTGCATTTGTTATATTACACAGGAAGCATTATTTATTGCATGTATTCATTAAAAAAAAATATATAACCCTGTAACTGAAAACAATTGCCCCACACACAAAAAACATACTCCAGCAACTGTGTCATGGACACACAAAACAATCAAATATTATTTGCTTTATTTTTCTAAGAATACCCTATTTATGTAAAGCAAGAAAAACAAATGGTTTTGTCATCTCATCAGAATGCAGCCACAGCAACTACCAACACAGGTGGTACATATACAATACATCTGATGGGAAAGCAAGAGGAGTAGATAGACTGATAACATTAAAAACATTATAGATCCACACAAAATTACATTACCCAGTGCTAGCAAATGATCACCCGGCTTGTTCCTCCTCATGATTCTTAAGGGCAAAGGTGAAAGTTGAGGATAACGATAATGGTGATGATGACCCTGTTTTTTGACCAACCATTAACTAAATGTCACAGTGGTAATCGTCTCTCAAGCTACCATCAATCACTTCCAACAGAGATGTTCTCCCACACCATGATGCCAAACTGCCCATCCTCTTTCTTCTCTCATGGCTTCCTTGTGCCTCTGTTACCCTCCAACTTTCCCTTTTCTTTTCTCTACTGCTTGAATGCCTTGCAGCATCAGGGTTGGAGGAGATCTCTGGAATGGGCCCTTCTGTTTGTTATATATACAGAGCTTTTCAGCAGTAAAGTGATAACAAAGATGAAGCATGTTAATACAGTCCACAATAGATAGTACTGAAATTGGAAACCATGAGCTATTAAAATACCAACTGTCTAAAGAATAACCATAGACAGAAACAAAATAAAGAGGATTTCATTGAAATATGAGCAATACATGTTTGCCTGTAATCGTGTGTTCCAAACCTACCTGGGGAAAGTATTCCTTAAAAACATATTTGGGTTTCAGGTGAAGCCAGTCTACAAAATGGGTACCAGGAAATGTTCTAGGAAGAAATGGCAACAACAAATGTATGGTATTAACAAAAGCACCCATTAGAAGCTGATTTGGCTGTAAATTTGAAGCTAGCACTGTACACCTAAAGGTGTAGTAAATGATCCAGCCTAAAAAAAATTGTCCCAGGAAAAAAAGTAACCAGTGTTATATTAACTCTTTGAGTCCCAGGTGGTTTAGCATCAAAGGCCCATGGGGTAGTCACGAGAGACATAAAATTGGCGCATCTTGTGTTCGTTGGGTGTCTATGTAGGAACCTATGAACGTATGATGTGTTCCTTGGGACTCCAAGAGTTATTATTCACCTACAAAGAGTTGACTCATCTATAAAAACACACTGGTTGCAGAGCAGTTATGGTTTATAACCGTGTTTAATGATGCTGGTTCACATCTCCAACTTTACCTTTACCTTTTTATGCAGCTAGCATTGCATATCTGATTTATTTCAGGGTGTGGTAAATAATCCTTACATTTTCACAATAAGCAAAACACATTACTGAAAAACAAAACACATTCACTGCTGTTTAATGGCGATGAATCCTGGATCAGTGCACTCTAGACAATTTCTCCCATACATCGTCTCCCTTAGCATGTGTTAAAGGCTGTTTATGATAAATGTTCATGCAGCATGCATATTTAAAATATACATAAGGAATCTACTATGTAAGCCATCTCTCACATACACACATAATATAAAAATGGCCTATGTGAGTAATGTGTGACTGACAATAAAAACTAGACATGGGCAATTTGTTGAACAACAAAGACAATGCTATTAAACAGAGGTCAACAGCAGCTTTTCCTTGATGTGTTGGATCTTTCGTTTGCATTGACTCTAATTTTCTCATCATCTTTTTCATCCTCGCCTAATTTATTTGCCTTGTCCTTCTCCAGAATCTGTGAATGGCAAACACATTACTGTTACTATATATTAGTTGGAGGAAGGATGTGGACTGACTACGGGAATTAGACATACACATGTACATAAAGCAATTATCGTCATGTCTGATGTGCCATTAACATTATCTTTAAATGAGCAACGGAAAATGCAGTCAAGATTATTTAGGTTTTTTATGAGAAGAAATAATACTTCAAATCAAGGAACAAATGGCAAACTCGATAGAAAAAGAACTGATTACACCTAAGTCCCAGGTTCTTTAAACAAACAATGAACAAAGCAGTCAAGACTATTGAGGTTTGTTATGAGAAGAAATAATACTTCAAATCAAGGAACAAATGGCAAACTTGATAGAAAAAGAACTGATTATGGAGTCTGATTTTCTGGGGTGAAGAAAGTACAGACCCGCTGCCCCCCTAACAAACATATAGTCAGAGTCAACTAATTAAGGTTACTTCTTTTAGTGTCAGATGCATCTGCCTATGAGACCATGAACCAAATGTCTGCATACATATAAGCCAGATCTGTAAAACAGACATGCATGCAAAACTAAGCATGGCCAAAGTCCAGAAGAGGACAAACAACCAGGATTCTCTACTAAAGTTTACAGGAGCTAAATACTTGAAAAAAACAAAAAAAAACAAGAGTGCCAGTTTGGCCATAACAATATAGGGCTGACACCTCTCTAAAAAAAAAAGCCTAAAGTATAGAAATGGAACCATACTTTTTTTCCAAGTCAGTTTATGAAGTGAAAGGACCAGCTCCCTTCCCCCCAACAAATATAACACCACCATACCACATACCTTGGTGACTAAAAATCTGGCCGCCTCATCAATATTGATATTTTCTTTAGCAGAAGTCTCGTACCAGCCTATGAAACCTTTCTCTTTGCAGAACTCATCCATCTGCGAGGCATTGTTGACTAGTCCTTCTTTTGTCTGGTCACACTAACAGGAAGAAAAGACATGTGGACGTATTACCTACATGTAAATAAATAAAGTAAGTAAAAATAGGTAGACAACAAATTAGATGGTTTTGGACATGACTGGCATCAGATAGGACACCAGAGAAAGCAATGTTATACAGACACAATGGTAACAGAGCCAGAGGTCCACCACGCAGAAGATGGACCACGGAAATACCAGAGACACTGAAAAGTACTTTAGACGAAGGGAACAGAAGGGCTCTTTCCAGAGATCTCATTCTTCACTGACACTGCAAGGCATTCCAGGAGTAGAGGAAGAAGAAGGGGTAAGTAAAAGACCCTTTAAGGCACTGGGCATATGATGCTAGACTAAAATGTTTTAATATAGAACAGTGGGTTAGTAAGTTGACAGATGATCCTACCTGTAAATCAAACCATTAAATTCATAAGTGCTCAGATCCCCTTTACAGTAAATCCCACAGCGCGTAATGGCTGATAACTCCCATTCCGAGTTGGTTTCTTACTCTTCTTTGGCTTCCTGCATAATGCTCTTCTCTGGCCACCCTCCTTTGAACATGTTGTTCTTGTAGTCTGCTCATGGTTGCAGATTTACAGTCATCACTTGGTTCTCGCAAACATCTTACTTCTCACTGAGCATTCAGAATAGCTGCCTGGTCCACGGCTCTTCCCCCTTCCCCCCTCCCCCCCCTTTACACAATAGCTTTACTTGCAAGCCTATCAGCTTGCCCTGCATGCCCTGGCACAAATATGAAACTGATATTTGTCGGCCTTGACCGCTACAGAGACTGTCTTCGGATCCAGGTCTTCTTGATCTTTCCGAGCATACTCACTGAATCACTGACAAAGTATGTGCCGTTGAAAGTCAGTGTCTCCAGCAATGCTTTTGCCATGGTTACTGCCATGACCTCCATAGTCATACTACTTGTGGTCGAGGCAACAGCAGCAGAATCTTGCTTCACAATTCTACCTCCAACCTCAGCTGTAGAAGCCCACAAGCTTTTCACCTGGTGAACCAAAGACCCATCTGCGTAAACGGCAGCATCCCTCTTTAGAGAATTATAGAAGATAAAAGCTTGCACTTCTGCCTCCACAGCGACCAGACTTTCTTGTCTGCATTTTCTCGCTAGTTTGATGTAAACAGCACTCTTTTGGTAATTGTACTCATTCCTTCCAGGGTTCTATGTCCTCAAGTGAACAAAACTGCTGAATAATATCCTTGGCCTGACCCATCCACAAAGGAAAGAACGACCTGGCATGAGTTGGTTGAGGACCTATGCTCCAATGAGGGTTAGAAAGGCAGAAGAAGAAGACCCATCGACGATTCTCCTCTTTTTTAACCTACTGCCTTTTTTTTCTCTTAATTTTCACTATGCAGCAGGTGTTGTGTGTCTGCGCTGAATTTGTATTCTGTCTTCCATGGTTGGAAAATCAAAAAGGTAGTGCATGATGCATCTTTTGTACACCCAAGTCCCAAGTGTAATGTACATAGCTTTGTTTTGTATCCTTTCCATCCCCTCCACTAAGTGCCAGGAGTCTCAGTGGGAGACGTAGTCAACATCATGCTGGCTGCTTTTACTTCCCGGGACATTTTCCTGGTACTCATTTTAGGTTGGGTAGACCTGTGATGCAAAGGTCATTTTTGACAAAAATCAGCCAGGATGTGGATTTTAACCCAAGATTATCGGGCCAGCAGTGAGATTCAAGCCACAAAATAACCATGGTGTGAAATTAGTATACTTTAAATGTGACAATAATATCTACATAGGTAAAATAAATGAACTACAAATGTGACAATAACATAAGTATGGGTGAAATACTCTTTGTGTCCTAAGAAACACATCATACATTCATAGGTTACTACCTAGAAGCCTAATTTAACGTATAATGAGCAACTTTTAAGTCTCTCTTTATTACTCCTTGGGCCTGTGATGCTAAACCCCCCTGGGACTCAAAAAGTTAATATGACAAAAAAATCTACATGGGTCAAACTAATGTACTAAATTAAACAACACAAACTGTGTGAACCATTCAAATTAACTTTGTTGTGATTTGTTAACCAATCAACTCTAGCTGCTCAAACTTTGTTAACCAATCAATTCAGGTTGCACAAATGCATTTAACCAATCAAATCAAAACGTACATACTTTGTTAGCCAATAATACACAAGGTACAGGTGATCCATCAGCAAGCTGGACCTTGTTGTCCAGATCTGCTTTCCACTTGGTTACAGCCTCAAAAGTTGAGGCTCTGGTTACATCAAACACAACAAAAGCTCCAACAGCCTCCTTATAGTACACACGGGTCATGTTGCCAAACCTTTCTTGTCCTGTAAACATGTTTATAAAATAAATAAAACAGAAAAACAAATTTAAAACAAAAACCTATTATCCTTCTTGTATCTTTGAGGATGACATCATAGTTGCATAGTGGCAAGTGTATTGAGCAGTTGCTGTTGTGTTATTGGGTTTAAATATCACCAACAATCTTGTTAACCATATGAGTACAGGGCTGAGTGAGTCTTACAAAAATCTGTACAAGAGGCATTCAGACAGTAATCAGCATTATCACGCACCATGCTGATAAGCATAGGCTGTCATGTTTTCGCTACCTCACTCGATAATATTACAAATAGTGAACTGCTGAAAAAATGTCTGGCTGCAGATAAAGAAATTCATAAATGTTTGTGTGCTGTGTACATAAGTTGTGCAGTCAATAGGAGCGCTTCCGTTTGCTAGGTTCAGAGAGTTAAAGCTTCAGAAAGTGGACAAACAAACCTGAGAATGTTACTTGTTTCACACTGGCATTAAGTAACAGAAGTGGACTAACTGAGATTATATGGAAAATTATGCTATATAAAGAATATGATGAGTTGTACTGTCAGTGAATTTCATATAATTTGCAGCAACAAAAATATTGTGAGCAAAAAAAAAAAAAAAATGTGGGACATTAATTTCTAAATGCCCTGATGTAAGAGAATGGTACCAAAAATTTTCAGTTCACTGTGATATTTAGCTTGCACACTATAGAATGGAGTAGAGGAATTTTACTATGGGAACCCTATGGGACGTACAAACTGCACAGCAGGAGGACAATGGATATTTAAGGCACATCCTTCAGGTGGAGACAGTGGAAGCACAGTGTCTAATAAACTAGTTTACTGTTCTGGTGTTCAAGTGTTAAAATTCAGGTCAACTCATCTTAAAATGGGTACCAAAAAATGGTACAGGAAGTAAAAATGACCTGTTATCTGTATCCCCTTCCTAGCACAAATTTTCAACCAGTTCATGCTTGTTTTCCGACACAGAAGCCATCTCAGTGTCTTCATGCACAACGTACCTAGCAAGAGTTGACTGACATATCTTCTTCCTTTGCCCCGCAACCAGTTTCTGCACCCTTATTCATTTTAATACCCTTTTCCAACATATGGCTCATTGTCTCTGAGCCCCTTCTCTCAATGTCTTCGGAATGCAGCACACTCACCATGTCTGCCCTGTCCATACTTCCTCCTCCACTAACCACTGCAGACACATCCAGTCTCTCTACTCGTTAATTTCCTTTCAAGACAGCATGTACAGCGAAAGTGACCATCAGGATACTGTACATATAACTCATCAAACTTTGATAAGTCTATATAACAATAGCGCTAGCACCACATATACAAAATGCCCCCATCTATACAATAGTCTTTTATATATTATGTTCACCATTAGTTTAAAAAGACAGTCCACAATTTACTTATCAGCAAAATGTCTAAATTAAAATAAAAAAACGTGCAGAACTTTATCACATAATGGGGCTCTTATGTGGGAGACCTAGGTTCAAATCTTCAGTAAAGTAATGAATGATGTTTTCTCTCAAAATGAACTGACCTAAATCGTTAGGTTCAAGACACCCTAGTTTACAACCAAGACAAGAAACAGAGCTTGTCAGAGATCCACTGCTGCCAACCTTCATTGTAGAGACAGCACCTGACTGACTGTGCCACACCACTCTAAAATGTGGCATTGTAGGAAATGAGGACTGTTTTTTTTGTTTTCATTATACTATTTCTATTGGATTACTCTGGTCATGTTTTGTGTTGTTGCTGATAGGACTTCTGACTGAAATGGTTGCTAGCCACTGACAATGTGAAAAAGTACTTGATTCCTACTAGCTTTTGCTGATGCAAATTCTGTATTTCTGGACCAGGAATCCAAAGGTGCAATCACCCAGCTACTTAGCTGAGTGCTTAATACGACACGGTGAGCTGTGAATTTCATGTGGCATGTTTCTTCTGTGTGTTGTTGACTGCACTAGAATAGGGGGGTGGCCGATTAAGTTCAAATGGCATGTACTTTTCTGGGTGCAGTCTGCTTTCATGACTAACCATTTCCACTAACAGTGTGTTACAATTCTAGCACAGGACCGCTATGTTGGCACATCTGACAGCTGCCTTGTGCATTTGTGGAGAGGCATGATTGCCCATGCCAGTCAACAAGGCACTTAATGGTGATGAATATAATGGGCACATCAGGAGCAGAAGCAGACAGATAATCACAAAACATGCGTTGAAATAGGAAACAAATGGATTAAGAAATAAGTATGTCTAAGAGAAACCCTCAGATGCACTTTGCAGAGAGTGGCCAAAAATGATTTTATGAATACAGAATGCAGGACTTGACTTCCAGTCCTATATGGCATATAATAGATCAACATGATGGTGATGACGGTGATTTCCCAACAAATTTTGGTCAGATTTTTCAACATCCTATGCGACTTGTTTATGTAGATCTTTATTTATATATTGTGTGTATTATCATAGTATTATACAGAGTTTCTTACCTGCTATGTCCCATAACTGTAGCCGAATTAACGTATCTGCATCCCAGTTAATTACTTTAAGTGCAAAATCAACACCAATCTGTGAATAAATATAATATTTCAGTCTGTGAAGAAACAGAGTATACCAAATTGTGAAGAAACAGAATACATCAGTCTGTGAAGAAACAGAGTAAATCAGTATGGGAAGAAACAGAGTAAATCAGTATGTGAAGAAACAGAGTAAATCAGTATGGGAAGAAACAGAGTAAATCAGTATGTGAAGAAACAGAGTAAATCAGTATGTGAAGAAACAGAGTAAATCAGTATGGGAAGAAACAGAGTAAATCAGTATGTGAAGAAACAGAGTAAATCAGTATGTGAAGAAACAGAGTAAATCAGTCTGTGAAGAAACAGAGTAAATCAGTCTGTGAAGAAACAGAGTAAATCAGTCTGTGAAGAAACAGAGTAAATCAGTATGTGAAGAAACAGAGTAAATCAGTATGTGAAGAAACAGAGTAAATCAGTATGTGAAGAAACAGAGTAAATCAGTATGGGAAGAAACAGAGTAAATCAGTCTGTGAAGAAACAGAGTAAATCAGTATGTGAAGAAACAGAGTAAATCAGTCTGTGAAGAAACAGAGTAAATAAGTCTGTGATGAAACAGAGTAAATCAGTCTGTGAAGAAAAAGGGTAAATTGTTATGTGAAGGAACAGAGTAAATTAGTATGTGAAGAAACAGAGTATAACAGTCTGTGAAGAAATAGAATATATTAGTTTGTGAAGAAACAGAATAAATTAATCTGTGAAGAAACAGCATATATCAGTCTGTGAAGAAAAAGTATATATCAGTCTGTGAAGAAACATAATATATAAATCTGTGAAGAAACAGAATATATCAGTCTGTGAGGAAACATAATATATCAATCAATGAAGAAACAGAATATATCAGTTAATGAAGAACCAGAATATATCAATCTGTGAAGAAACAGCACAATGAAAAAATATCATTTCTTCACCTGCCATATTCTCCTTAATAATAATTGTATTCTCCCGCTGGAAATCTGTATTTTAATAGTTTTGGAACATTTTCTTCTTTCCATAGGATAGTATTATGTTTTGTTACTGAAAGTATTATGTTATGTTACTGATAGATAGTATTATGTTATGTTACTGATAGCATTTTGTTAAATTACTGATAGTGTTATGTTATGTTACTGATAGTGTTACGTTATGTTACTGATGGTGTTATGTTATGTTACTGATGGTATTATGTTATGTTACTTATAGTATTATGTTATGTTAATGATGGTATTATGTTATGTTACTGATAGTATTATGTTATGTAACAGCTGCACAGGAATCACAGGCAATGAATTGGAATAAGTTTCTGAAATAAACTTCCTAGCCTGCACACATCATGGTGACCACATTAGCTTTGTGGCTTCAAGTCCTCAGGTGACCACATTAGCTTTGTGGCTTCAAGTCCTCTGGTGACCACATTAGCTTTGTGGCTTGAAGTCCTCAGGTGACCTCATTAGCTTTGTGGCTTGAAGTCCTCAGGTGACCACATTAGCTTTGTGGCTTCAAGTCCTCAGGTGACCACATTAGCTTTGTGGCTTCAAGTCCTCAGGTGACCACATTAGCTTTGTGGGTTGAAGTCTCCAGGTGACCACATTAGCTTTGTGGCTTGAAGTCCTCAGATGACCACATTAGCTTTGTGGCTTGAAGTCTCCAGGTGACCACATTAGCTTTGTGGCTTGAAGTCCTCAGGTGACCACATTAGCTTTGTGGCTTGAAGTCTTCAGGTGACCACATTAGCCTTGTGGCTTGAAGTCCTCAGGTGACCACATTAGCTATGTGGCTTGAAGTCCTCAGGTGACCACATTAGCTTTGTGGCTTGAAGTCCTCAGGTGACCACATTAGCTTTGTGGCTTGAAGTCTCCAGGTGACCACATTAGCTTTGTGGCTTGAAGTCTCCAGGTGACCACATTAGCTTTGTGGCTTGAAGTCCTCAGGTGACCACATTAGCTTTGTGGCTTGAAGTCTTCAGGTGACCACATTAGCTTTGTGGCTTGAAGTCCTCAGGTTCTAGGACTCCCTTCCTTTCCCGATTTTCTGGACACAGAGTGGCATGAAAATATGGTTCTGTAGGCAGAGTCATTTCAACACATTATGGGCCCCTGGGCAAACAAATGGGATTGGGCCCCTATGATAACTTCTCACAGTAATGAATCAGTATTTATGGCAAGTCACTTGAGATATACAGATTAGCATGAGACTCCTAAGCTCGTGAGGCCCCGGGAAAGTGCCAAGCTGGCCTAGGCACTAAGATGACACTAACTGTAGGTAGTGGGGGCGGAGCGCTTACGGGGGTGTCCCAAGTGCTGTGATGTTGATTCTTAATTCAACATTCAACACTGACTATAGGTAGTTAGGGCAGTTTAACAGGGAAAAAAAATGTATGTCACAGAGAAAGCTGTTAACACAACCTTTCACTCCATTAGAGGCCTAAACCTTGATGAGTCACATCCCCAATCTTGGTTCAGCATATCAGGAAACCTGTCAAAATTACACATCATATGATGCATAGAAAGACACGGTAACACTATGGCTAGCTGGCTTACCTGTTGACCTGAAGGTCACAGGTATGAATCCCCAATTACAGAACCCCATTGTGTATGTGTGTGTGTGAGTGTGTATTAGGGGCGGGGGGGGGGGGGGTGGAGAAGGGAGAGCAGAGAATAGAGAACAGAACCTATAACAAGCATGGGAAGAAAGATCTACTCCCCCCTCCTTCCATCATAAGTATGTCATAAATGTCAATTAATCAGTGGTGTTTCCTTCACAGTGCCTCTGCCTGAGAGGTGAGGAACCAACAGTCTGCGTACACATAAGCCAGATCTGTAAAAACCTATATGAATGCAAAACCTCAAGCTCTGGAACAACACTTATATCCAAACATGGAAGAACAACCAGAGCTTTCTGCTGGCTTTTACAGCCGATGTATGTGAAGAAGAAAACCAAACTTAAATTTAAAACTGGTACCTGGAAATCATCACCCCTTATCCTGTTGTATCATTATACTTCACATAGGGCTCATAGTTTACTCTTCCATTCCATTTTATTCTATCCTGTGCAATCGATCGATCAAATGCCTGATGCACCACAGGCATTGAAAAAAAAAGACCTTTTTTTCTAAAATCTTATTCTGTAAAAAATACCTTGGACAGCCAAAGAGAGCAACCAAGAGGTTTTGAAAGAGGCGGGAGCTCGAAGACTACTAATCACAGACATCAGAAGGAGACAGTTCTAATTTTTCAGCCATGTTATGAGAAGAGGGAAAATGGAACATGTTGTGACCACTGGAAAGATCTGTGGAAGGAGTGATAGAGAAAGACAACGAGAGAAGATTCTTGACAGTTTTGTTGCATAGCATGGAGGCGTGTCAGCACACAAACTAATACATGATGCAGTAGACCGCAGATTATGGAGAGGCATGATCGCTCACGCCAGTCGGCAAGGCAACTGATGATGATTCTGTTAAATTGTGAAGTATGAAATGCAGTGAAACAATTACTCACAGTTGCTCTATAATGCTGTGAAAAGAACTGGTGGACATATCTCTTGATGATGCTAGTTTTCCCAGTACCCAGCTCGCCAATGACCAAAATTTTATATAAGTGTTCCTTTTTCTCACCACCTGTAGCCTGAAAAAAAAAACATCAGATTGCTGGCTTTTATGTCTTGGTCAAAACCTCACATTTTCACTGCTATATACATACAGTAAAGTAAAGTAGTGAAGGACCCTTTTCCACGCCTATAGGCTTATAGTGCTAGACCTAAATTTTATAGACCAATCGGCACAAGATGGGTGATGTGGTCAGCATCACGCCAGCCGCCTTTACTTCCTGGGACTGCATCTGGTACCCACTAAAGGCTGGGTGAAGCAAAGGTCATTTTTGAAAAGATATATACATATAACACTTTAAAACTATACACATTTTAACCATAAATTTTGACTGCTACATACAGATAAAACTATAAAAGTATACAGTTTAAATAAATCATCTTCAAGTGTTATTTACAGATTCAGCCCAAAAAAATATTACATTTATGCCTTACCAGAAAGTTCTTCAGACTTTCTGTTAGGTCAAGTTACTCACAGGGGTCTCTTTATAGGGTAAAACTTTCTGTTAGGTCAAGTTACTCACAGGGGTCTCTTTATAGGGTAAAACTTTCTGTTAGGTCAAGTTACTCACAGGGGTCTCTTTATAGGGTAAAACTTTCTGTTAGGTCAAGTTACTCACAGGGGTCTCTTTATAGGGTAAAACAGACCCACTGTCTCTCGGAGAACATGTTGACAGAGGCAACTAATTAGGATTTAATGAAACCTGGTGAGCTGGTACAAAAGGGGTAGATATCACAGCCTAGCTGTAAACCATAATACAGGCTGCCAAATGCTCTTTCAAAGGTGAATGCAGAAGATCAGATTACAGTAGCAGCGTCTTCCTGTGTGAGTGTTTAGGTCCCGGTGGGACCTACCACACCTTCCACAAGCATTGTGAGAAAAAATTGACTAATTACGGATGTTTCCTTTAAAATAGCACTGCATCTGACCAGGAGGCGAGGAACCAACAATCTGTACACAAATAAAATTGATGTGCACACAAAACTAGAACTTCTAGAGCAGGACAAAAATACAGAAGTGGACAAACAACCATAACTTTTTGCCAAATGTGAACGCGAAGGAAAAGTAGAAGGAGGAGAAGAAGAAGAAAAAGAAGAACTAGCAGCAGCAGCAAGTAGTAGACTATTAAACCACAGGATATTGTTACCACATGCACACCAAACAACCACATGTCAAATAAATTAGTTTTACTGAGCTCCAGAATATCAGGGTGTTCACCTGGACAAGGTAGGTAATTTATTTCTTCGTGCTACACCTGCTTAAACATTTTACATTTTTTTAAACGGTAATTTAAAAATAAAAAAATATGAAGCGATACAATAAGATAAAGAAAAAATATGGACCACACAGGCGAGATGAGGGTGGACTTTTAAAAGTAGCTCAACATGTGTGATTTGATTACCTCTTTCGCCATCAAATAAGGTACTGTGTGTTTTTTGGTCACTTACATAGTTGTGTTTTGTTCTTGGCAGCTAAATGATTATGACACTTCATTACTGCGAAGCGAGTGAATGCCCCTGAATGATGAGGATATAAATCTTCCTTTTTTATGTCTTATTTGTGTGAAAAGGCTAGATATAATAAAAACCAAACAAAGACATTGAATGGACGTTATTGCAACGCTTTATCTCGAAGCACTGATCCAGTTATATATATATATATATGATTTCCTAACATATAGGCAGAAGCAGTCACATTACACTAGGTCTAACAAATTAAATGATTTCTATATTTTACTTTTTCATCATCCAATGAACGAACAAACAAACAAACTTTATTTGCAAAGGGTTACAAATTGGACAAGCAGGCCAGTCTGACATTCGTCCCTTCTAAGCACTCATCTTTCAGAGTACCAATGCCTGTTATCAATAATGCATGTTATGTTTATAATACCAAAATTTACATTATAGAATAATGCAGACACACATCATGTAAACACTATCATACACACTGAAACATACACACGTACATATATATACTCTTACATTCTCATAGGTACACATACACACTCATATACAGACATATGTAATAAAATCACACAAGCACCTACATACATATACGCACACATACATAAACCCACATGCATACATACATAGGCTACACCTACATGCATACATATTACAAACATACATCCATACATACACTAACACACATACATACATACACAAACACACATATACATACATAGACATACATACACACACACACATTCCATACATACACACCTACACATGCATATATGCACACACACCCAATCACATTTACAGACACCCACATACTCCCACAATCACACATATACACTCACATACCATTACACACATACATGCATGCATGCATACCAACAAACACACACATACATGAATATATACACTCACATACCTTCACACATACTTGCATACATACCTAAATACATACACACATACACCCACATATTTACTTAGCATACATACACCCAACAACATGCATACATACACACATAGATACATAAATATATGCATGCATATATATACACACAGATATACATACATGCATGCATACATACATACACAAACATACATACACACACATACATGCACACACACACATTACATACATACACACACATGCATGTTTACACACATATACAATCACACATACAGATACACACACACTCACACAGACAGAAATACATTTGAGATTTGAAAATCTCAGTCTGGACAGCAGACTAACATGATAGACCCCAGATACCCCGTTCAACCCGAGGTCGACCACGCAGAAAATTGGAGCGCAGAAATATCAGACACTAAAAAGTACTTTATAGGAAGTGACATCTTTTGGATGTGCAAAATGGTGTTCTGAAACCAGTATCGTTGCACTTCAGTTCCCAGGATCACCAAGTTGTCCACGACATGGATGTGACAACCATTAAATCTAGCCATTCCAGCGACAGAGTCCGTAAGTCTCTTGAGAATCACTTTATTTATACTCTGGGGACTTCTGACACCCTCCGGACTGAATTGCCAACACAGTTTCGTTTAAACCCCCAGGGGATTGAACTGCCCTCACATTTTCAACCCCAACACCCCAGTTATGGCGCCTGGTACTCCACAGGGGGTATTTATTCCCCCAACCGACACGTGGAGTCATGAAATTTGTTGTCTTTTGAAGCCTCAATCTGGCTTTTGCCAGGGGCCGCAATATAGGCAGGCCATAAATATGGCCAATTGTCTGAACGCGGTTTCTGGGACCTCTCCACGGTGATCCTCATCCACATGGTGACACTTTGTGTCATTGGGTGTTTATCGCTTGTACCTGGTGGGGTAGAAAGTTAGTCAGACGTGGAGTCATTCTGGTGAGTAACAACCGACCCGGCTGCATCGAGATACCAGCTAAGTGATTTTGTGTATTTATGTAGTATTGTTTAATTTGTATGTGCTGATGAAGGCGCAATAGCCGCAACGTTCACGTTTTGTTTGTATTTGTTATATTGTGAAGCTGGCTAATATACTTTTCGTGATATTTATACGAAGCGAAGGGCTCGTTCCAGATATCTCTTCCTATCCTGAAGCCGCGAGACATTCCAGGAGCAGAGAAAAGAAGAAGAAGAAGAAGTTTGCAAGATATCATTTTTTTTAATTTCTATTTTCCTATTCCACAGCGGTAAAGATTGACTCTAGACAATCTGAAATTAGTTTGTATAACGAGACTAGGCTGATTCGAACATTGTCCTGGTCGGGTAAACTATCAATCAGTTGTTACAATAAAAGCACGGGAATCATAATCTTCTTATAAAAGCTGACGGTTGCAACATCGGTAATAGGATTGGTTTAAGTTAGCTGCATACCCTTTATTACAAAACGTTGAAGAACCAGCTCCGTAATTTGTATTACTTTGCGAGCACTTCTAGAGTTTAGTCTTATTCGAGAATTGAGTTTTGCGTGAGTGTGTTTTACTGATCTTTCTTATTTGTATGCAAACTGTTGGCTCCTCGCTTCTCAGACTGATGCATTCCGACTGCGAAGGAAACCTCACACTAGTCGACTTTTACGGTATACTTGTTCAAGAAGAGTTGGTTCCAAACCTCACCCCCCCCCTCTCCTCCCCCTCCCCATTGGGGCTCGGAATCCAGACAGCGTGGTGTGAACCTGATCATTTAGGACGGCAAGGCTAGAGCAGACGTCATGAAGTGTGCATGCTAGAATTTTCTTTCCCTCCCCCCGATATAATTTCAATCCCTATTTGAGGATCAAACTCGGGTGTCCCGCACGAGAGCCCAGCGCAATAACCATTCGGACAGACGCTTTTCGTGAGTTCGATATGAAGATTATAACTCTGCGTCCACCATAAAAAGTAAAGTAAAGTATAGGACCCTTCCCACGCCTTTAGGTGTATAGGGCATATAGGGCTAGGCCTATATTTTATAGACCAACGGCACAAAATGGGTGATGTGGTCAGCAACACGCCAGCCACCTCTACTTCCCGGGACTTGCGTCCACCATAAAACAAAATGATAAACAAAAAATGATGTCAGCTGTCCTTTGCCAAATTAATTAATGATCCACGTCTAAAGAAATGACACTATAGGCCAAACATAAAAACATGGATATGCAAAAAAGTAAACCAGAAGACAGAGGGTTAAAATAAGTAAAGTAAAGATCCTTTTTCACGCCATTAGGTGCATCGGGCATATAGGAAAGCATCCACATTGTTACAGACCAATCGGCACTAGATGAGTAACGTGGTCAGCATTACGCCGGCCGTCTCAACTTCCCCTGGGCATACATCCTGGTACCCATTTTAGGCTAGGTCGACTTGCGACGCCCATACCATGATAAAAATCCACCCAACTAGCGGTGGGTTTCGATCGCGGTTCGTTGGAATTACAAGTGGTACACGAAAAGCCTAAGCCACAGACGCTGCTAAAATCGGAGATAGATTAATATAAAGTTATGGACTGGCAAATCGGCATTTGAAATTAAAAGGGATGAGAATGGACTACAGGCCGACGAAGTTCAGACAGGCTGGAAAACAGCAAGATGT